CAAACATGATTAGTCAGCACGCGAGCGGGCAGCACTCACTGGAGTCAATGGATTACAAAAGAAGGAGGGCACAAAGGTGGGAGGGGCCATGCTGGGGGGCGGGGTCAAGATACTTTATGTGCATGTATAAACTCGTCAAAAATAGGAAGATATTCTCAAAACATAATGGAACTTAGTGAAAACAGGAACCTAGTTTTTCAACTGTTTAATGATTTAAAAATTGAATACTATGATAATATAACACTTTCTTGAAAAAAGACCTGGTATCTGCTTCTGGAAATGGATGTCAAGGGGCTGGAGAGATGGCTTAGCTGTTACCAGACCTTCCAGAGGACCCCGGTTTGGTTCCCAGCACCACAGCTAACCACCTTCTATAACTCTAGTTCCAGGAGATCTAATGCCCTCTTCTGGATTTGGCAGGCACAGCATGCATGTGATGCACAGATATACATGTAGGCAAACATCCACACACATAAAATAAAATAAAATTAGTTAAATCACAAAAAATATTAAAAATAAAAATAAAGAAATAGATGTCAAGGATTATACATTATGGGTTATTGTGATGTGAAAGGAATATTATCTGAAATTTGATGTAGTGAATGTAGACAGAAAATACACATCTATAGAGTATTCATGGGCTCTTTATATGCATTCTTGCATGGTTTGGGCTAGGAACACTTTTCTGCATTTACCTCCTCCTTTCAGAGGCCGAAATCATAAATCACACATGACCAAAGCAAAATTAGCATTCTGCTCCTATTGTCACCCCTTGGAACAAGTTTGCATCTTCAAAATAGTATTATAGCAGAATTGACTGTAAAGCATTTCACTTTAAAAATTAAACAGCCGGGCGGTGGTGGCGCATGCCTTTAATCCCAGCACTCAGGAGGCAGAGCCAGGCGGATCTCTGTGAGTTCGAGGCCAGCCTGGGCTACCAAGTGAGTTCCAGGAAAGGCGCAAAGCTACACTGAGAAACTCTGTCTCGAACCCCGCCCCCCCCCCCAAAAAAAATTAAACATCTTGGAATACCTTTACAAAATGATGGTGTCCTGACTTAACAAATTTTTTTTGTTGTTCTTTTTCATTTTTTTTCGAGACAGGGTTTCTCTGTGTAACAGTCCTTAAACTCACTTTGTAGACCAGGCTGGCCTTGAACTCACAGAGACCTGCCTGCTTCTGCCTTCCAAGTGCTGAGATTAAAGGCATATGCCACCACTGCCTGGCCCTTAACAAATGTTAAAATTTGACAAACAATAGTTATTGAAGATAGTGTGCTGGCCATTCACTGTATCCAAGAAATGCACTCAAACTGTCCACCAACTGAGATATGGGCAAAGAAATTGAGATTTTTTTTTTAAGATTTATTTATTTACTATGTATACAGCATGTATGTCTGCAGGCCAGAAGAGGGCACCAGATCTCATTACAGATGGTTGTGAGCCACCATGTAGTTGCTGGGAATTGAACTCAGGACCTCTGGAAGAGCAGTCAGTGCTCTTAACCTCTGAGCCATCTCTCCAGCCCCAGAAATTGAGATCTTGCACAGGTACTCATAGCTATTGTGAGTTCAAGAGTACAATAGCCATGTCATGCCTGGAAATCAACATTCCACACAGCTCTCCTGCCTGGGGGTAGTGGTGCTATAGATAAATGTCTCACTTATGACTGAGCCAAATGAAATACTTTTAAGAAAAAAATAAAGGGTAAGAATAAGTGTGAGCCAGTGTATGTGCCTGCCATGGTACACATGTGGAGGTCAGAAGATAACTTGCAGGAGTTAGCTCTCTTATTCCACCAAGTGAGTTGTAGGGATTTGCCTACTGAGCCATTTTTTCCAGGCCCTGCCTTGTTTTTGTTGTTTGTTTTGAGACACTGTTTCTGAGTAGCCCAGGATGATCTTGAACTTAGAGTCCTCCTGCCTCAACTCCCTAAGTGCTGGTTTTATAGCATGTGTTACCACATTAGACTCAAATCTATCATTTGTTTGTTTGTTTGTTTGTTTATTCATTTATTGAGACAGGGTTTCACTGCATAGCCCTGAATGGCCAGAAACTTGCTATGTGAAGCAGGCTGGCTTTGAACTCAGAGAGATCACCTGCCTCCGCCTCCATAGTGTTATGATTAAAAACATACATCACCACCTCCAATGTCCCTTAGCGTTACACTGGTGAATTTGTCATGCTGTATGGTACAAAGGTCTTTGAGTAGTGATTAAGCTTGCCAATGAGTAGACCTTAAAATAAGAAGATTGTCTTGGATCTAATCACATGAGCCCCAAAATGGAAGCAGGAGACTAGAGTGAAGCTCAGTGGTAGATGCCATGGTTAGTGGGCACAAGGATTTAGTCTCCAGTACTCCACCCCCAAAAAAGTACATGTGGAGAAACCAGAGAGTCTGAAGCAACATAGCTTGAGGATGGAGTGGACTGCATGTTCAGGGAACCAGAAACCCCAGTCCTATAGCTGCAGGGAGATGAATCATGCCTGCCACTAGAATGAGCTTGGAGGTGGATGCTCCACCAAGAGCATTTAAGAAGTAACGAGTACCTGAAGATGTCGGCATCTGATTTTAGGATCAGATGAGACCCTTAGAAGAGCTGTGCCACATAACATCAGTTCTGATCTGCATAAACTGTTGGAGAAATTGGTGTTGTTTTAAGTAGTTAAGTTTGTAGTTATTTTATGACAGAAATAGAAGACAGATACATGTAATTTTCCCTTTCCAATTAACGTCTAATCTGCAGGGTAATGCTTTGAAATCATGAGACTTGATTATCTATTGATTATCTTTACCTGAATTAGTTATGACTGGTGAGGGAAAAATAGTGATTTCCTTTCTTCTTGTTTCTCATCCAAATTACTTATTTCGTTTCTAGCTTTACTTAGGTATATTTGGCAAATACTACATATGTATGTATATTTAAGATAAATTATTACCATAATGAAATTAATTAGTATAATGTTAAAAAACTACAGCTGGCCAGGCAGTGGTGGCACATGCTTTCTTTAATCCCAGCATTTGGGAGGCAGAGGCAGGCGGATCTCTGTGAGTTCCAGGCCAGCCTGGTCTACAAAGAGAGTTCCAGGACAGCTAAGATTGTAACACAAAGAAACTCTGTCTTGAAAAACCAAAACCAAAAACCACAATAAACAAACCAACAGAAAACTACAGCTGGGCATTATGGTGCACTTCTTTAATCCTAGCACTCCAGAGGAGAGGCAAGTGGATTTCTATGAGTTCAAAGCCAGCCTAGTCTATGCAGTGAGTTCCAGGACAGCCAGGGTTACATGGTGAGACCCAGTCTCAAAAACAACAACAACAACAACAACAGCAGCAACAACAACAAATCCATAAATTTGTCAAGAAGTAAGAGATAGTTTATTTTGGAGCCAAATATGAGTTTCTATGGTCCAGGAACACAGATTTAAGTTTTACCCCAAATTCTCTGCTCCAGTGTGGTAACAGGTTCATGGAGCTTTTATAGTAACAGAAGAAAACCACAAATCTAGACCTTTTTTAAACACATTGGTGCATACATCAGGTAGGGAGGTTCCAGCAAAGCTGGGAAATATTTGCTATAGTTCTCTGATTTGATCTGAGGACATTACTAGCTTTTAGGTTGGTGGAAGGTGGGGATCTGTGCATATATTCCTGAAGCATTTACCTAATAGTCACAACATATTAGGTCATACATAAGGATGGGCAGTGAATGACTATTTAAGAGAGCGAAGGCAGCCCAAGACAGTTTGGCTTTGGACCTGCATCCAACTTCTTCACAATCACTGAAGTACTCATCAATCAGCCCATGTAGAATGTCCAATATAGGTGTGGCTTCTTTCTAGGGACTTTAATTCACAAACGTATCCATCACACACCACACCTGGGCAGGGTATGTGTATGTGTGTGTACATGTGTATGTATGTGTGTATGAGTGTGTGTCTGTGTGGTTGCCTTTTATTTTTTCCTTTCGTCTGTTATGAGAAAGTGAAAAATCACCCAGCAAATGTCAAGTATATACAAGCATATGCAGAGTTACTGTCTAATATGATACAGTACCTGCACCTGCCCTCACCATGTCATGCTTTAGGCCTCCACAGGTATTCATCCCACAGAGCTGAGCCTTTGGAGCTTCTGATCAACACTGAAAGGTTTGCCACTGTCCTGGCAGGAAAGAGGTATTCTAAAGAGACACCTGTGCCCCGCCCTTTGCCTATCAGACCATTGAGACAATAGATTCCAAGGAATGGAATTTCCCCAGGGGTCTCAAACTCCAGAGGGGAGTTTGTCTTTCTGGAAGAAATCCCACACAACTTGTCAGACCACCTTGTAGAAGAAACTGAACCAGGGACCACAGCTTGACTGAGATTGCTTAAACTTCTCTACCTCTGTTTAAGCCTAAGCCTCATGTGAATGTTCTGAAGATGGAGGTGGGGTGGTCAAGGACTTATCTATTCCGCTTCCCAATATGGCACATTAAAGACATCTCTTTTCTCTGTTTTTCACTATCGTCTCTTTAACTCTCATTAAAGAACTTCTTGTGGCTGCCAGGACCCTCCAGGCTTTGTAAAGTCTCTGATAACAGGGTTAGGGTTGTCAACAGCTAGAGTGAGTATTGGGAGGAAATGAGTAATTACGAGGAATGGGCTGAGGGTTTCCTTTGGTGATGAAAATGTTCTTAAATTGATGGACGCACAACTCTGTGAATATAATTAAACCCTACTGAATTGTACACTTTAAAAGGGTGAATTTTTCCAAGGCTGGGTATGGTGGAACAGGCGGGAGGATGATGAGTTCAAAACTATCCTGAGCTACATAGAGAATCCAAGGCCAGTCTGGTCTACACAAGACCCTGTCTCAATATATAAATGAATGAATGAATGAATGAATAAATAAATAAATAAATAAATAAATAAATGGGTGGATAGATTTTGATGGGCACAGTGGTATATGCTTGTAATCTTAATACCTGGAAGATGGAGACAGGACCTTTAAGAGTTATATATAGTCCAGTTTGGGTTACATGAGACTCTGTCTCAAAAAAAGGTGAACTTTTTGATGTAGATATTCTCTCTATAATTTTGTTTGTAATAAGTTACACACGTTTGGTATTCAGCCCAATTTCTGGGTACCCAGTTCCTAAAGTCCTTGGAATCTCCAAAGTGATAAATGTCTTTTTGTATTGCTAATGATGACTGCTGGCTGGGGGTTCCAGAATAGCTTCCGGATGGGGGTTGGTTGCCAGGGGAACCAAATTGAGATTTGAAGTGCTTCAGGAAGTATTATTTGTTTATTGTCTAGTACATTTAAGATACTTGATAATCCTGGAGAGGGACATCTGTTATACCAAGTCTAATCTTTTAGTGCCTCCCAACAAACATTCTACTTGCTAGCTTCTTGCATCTTTGGAGGTCCACAGCTAGTCATCCCACATTCCTTAAGGTTCAGTTTAAGCCTTTGCAATTCTTCCTTCTCAGTGTCTTACAAAGCCTTCCTTAGTCATTCCAGTCTGTACCACTTGTCTGAACATTTATCAGTTTGCCAATTGATCTCATTATCTAATCAGTCACTGAGTTTAAGCAGCCAAATTGTTGTTATATACACTAACATATTACTTTGAATCTGTATCAGATTTTCACTGACTATTGCCCCGTGCCAGACAGGAAGACTTACTTCATGATGCCACTTAAGCAGCCCAAGTACCCAATAATCCAAGAGCTCCAGGTGTGCTAGAAGCGTCTTGTGACCAAAGTCATGCGAAGGCTGTAAAGATCCCTCAGAAAAACAATTCTATAAATCATGGAAAGCAATCACTCTTTTCCATAATGACTTCTTCAGGGTCTAAATACTTTGAGAAAACAAATATTCATTCAGATGTTTACCTGAGATGCCGTGAAAAAAACTATTTCATTCTAATATTCACCCTAAATACAGTGATGGCTAGATTCCCACAACAGTTGACATACCAACTATTCCACAAGTGCATCCTTTTTGATTGTGGTGTGGAGGTAGGGTGGGGTGTGGGGTGGTGGTCAACAGAAGCCTCACACATGCTAGCTAGGCAAGTGCTCTACCACAGAGTCATCTCTGTAGCCTGCTTTATTGAATGTCTAAGAGGTGCTTTACCTAGCTGAAAAGACCGATTCTTTCAAAAAAGAATTCGTACCTGGGATTGGTGGCACAGGCTTGTAACCACAGCATTTGGGGAGGTTGAAGCCTTCAGGAGAATAATTAGTTTAAGGTTAGCCTGAGCTACATAGTAAATTTCAGTTAACCTTGGGCTACAGAGGAGACTCTCAAGAAGGACTTGGGTGCTAGATGAGTGAATCATGAAAGGAAACAATGTATTTTGGGCTATCCTTAGCTACTAAGATGACTTAGCAGAAGAGAGCTACCCCTTCACAAGCCTTACAATCAAGGCAGTAAGAGTTTTAAGAACTAATAGAGCCACATGGATCACCTTAAGATTCTTCCGTCTTCTACTGTTTCCTAGTAACTAGCCTAAAAGGACCCACCTCTTGCTGGAGCTTAAGGCTTCCTCTTTGTTGCGCATTTGAATGAGGTAGAGTGCCTATGGGAGGTAGACCTTAAAACTACAGGCTGGCTTTTATCAGAAGGGTGGTTCAACAATAGCGTGGAAGCTCCAAACTTCTGCTTAGTCACCAGGAAAATGGGATTAAAAGGGTGGGGCTGGAACAGCTCATCGATACGGTCTCAGCATTGGTCCCCATCGCTACAAATTTTAAGAGAAGTTTCTCTCCCTCATCCTTAAATATTCATAATTTCACATGTGTTATTGACAGGCAGGTGGAGAGATGCTACACATGCACTGTGGCCCAGGACTCTACACAGGATGAATTATGTGGGTACAGGTGGTTTGAAACTGTCTTTCCTTCCCTTGATGTCTGCATTAGAAACAGTTGAGGGTGAGAGCTGAGGGCCAGCAGTCAGATGGCGGCTCATAGCCTTACGCAGTCCTTCCGAAGGATTTCATGCAGACAAGAAAGCGAAGGGAGAAGACAGAAGGAGGGGGAGACCTGGTGCTATTTGTCCCGCCATCCTTGACACAATTCCTTTACTCACTCCCCTCCCCAGTGCTGCCAATAATCACCGATTCTGACTAATCCTGCACAAAAGTAGAAAATTCCCAGGGGATCTATGGTCAGGAAGCTTCTTATTGTCCTCTGACCACCAGAGAGGCAAATGGGAAAAGGCTATCCTCCCCCCTTTCTCGTTCCCCGCCATGCCCTGCTTGCTGTTTTTGGTTGGGAAGCAGTCTCAGGCTTGCAAAGCCAAGTGAGTGTGTGTGTGTGTGTGTGTGTGTGTGTGTGTGTGTGTGTGTGTGTGTGTGTGTACACAAGCCCGCGCGTGGGTATGTATATTGTGTTGTGTGTTATGTGTAGGGAGAGGGCTTGGAGGTGGGATCCCATGACGTTACTGGCTCCTCCTCCCAGTGAATATAAGGGGCGCTTGGCGCGCAACGACCCTAAGCAGCAGCATTGAAGCCTGAGCAGCTCAAGTCTGCAGACCCAACCCAACTCTGAAGTCAGCTTCACTGAACCAAATCTGAGAATCTTCGCCCTCTGGGCTTGCCACAGCTCTCTGGTAAGCCTTTGGGGCCGACACGTGTGTCAGAGAGGGGAGAGGGAGGGTCCGTGTATACCTAGGCTTCTCAGGCAACCACGGCACGCAGTTGCATCAGCGGGCTGTGACCTGTTGCTAGCAAGACCCTAGCCCAGCAGCCGGGTCTTCCTGGCTCCAGCGCAGCCCCAGACCGTTTCTAGATGGCACCATAAAATCTAGATGCTGAATCTAGGGCCACCGGGCGGGGGATCCCTAGTCTGCGAAGGGGTGTGTGTGAGCGATCTAGGGCTGGCTTTGTAGCCCCCCTCGCCCTCCCGCCGGGCACATCTCCCAATTTCAGATACCAAAGCCCCGCCTCACCCCTGATGCTCACAGACCAGCCTAGCCGGGGCGGGAGGAAGTGGGGGAATATTTGCAGGCTCAGGTGGAGTGCTGTGGGCTTGGTGAGGAGGGATGAGATCGAGGCAGTGTCCACTTTTCACCTGCAGCGAGGTCAGTCCCCTCTTCCAGGTGCTGGGAGCCATGTCTCTTTGAAGCCCTCTGGGCGCGCTACTGAAAGGAATGTAGGTATTGGGTGTGAGAAGGGGCTCTCCCAGAGTTGCCCAGAGTTGAGTTCCGCTTGATTCACCAGGAGCTACAGGCCAGGAAACAGAAACGTGAGGCTGGCTTCAAGGCTGCTGGGCTGGGCTCTAGAGTAAATCCCATAGGTTCTTGGCCAGAAAAAGAAAAAAAAAAAAAAAAACCATAATGTCCAAGCACTTACTAGCGCCAACCACTGTGCTCCAAGGGGCTTTCACTCGCCTCTTCTGAAATGAGTCCTTCCACCAGCCTCCGAGATACTGTAATCCCTACTTGCATTATTATTGTAATTCCTACTTGCATATGAAGAATCGGATGTTAGAGATAAAGTGGCTTGCTTTTCCCCCTCAAGCCACCCTCCTTTGTCCCCGGAGCTCTTTCACTTAGTGGAGTGGGTTTTGTGATTCACTTTCAGAGCTTGGGGATAATGAGACCCATTGAAGGGGCTTTTGTCTTGTTTTTCACCAGAACCTAGCTAGCATCCCTTTCAATTCCAGCCAGAATGCGGTGGCAGGCACTTAGAAGATTTGGTCAAAAGCTGGTGCGGAGACGTGCGTTGGAGCCAGGCATGGGCGAGACTCGCCTTGCCAGATGCCTAAGCACCCTCGACTTAGTGGCCCTGGGTGTGGGCAGCACCTTGGGTGCAGGTGTGTATGTCCTGGCTGGTGAGGTGGCCAAAGATAAAGCAGGACCATCCATTGTGATCTGCTTTTTGGTGGCTGCTCTGTCTTCGGTGTTGGCTGGACTGTGCTATGCTGAGTTTGGCGCCCGGGTCCCTGGCTCTGGTTCTGCCTATCTCTACAGTTATGTCACGGTCGGTGAACTCTGGGCCTTCACTACCGGCTGGAACCTCATCCTCTCCTACGTCATTGGTGAGAAAGATGCGTGGGGTGGGGTGGGTGTCTGTGTGGATGAGTACACAGGTAGTATAGGGATGACGGATCCAGGAAGCCGAGGAGACTGCTGAGGCCACACTTGTTATTATTTTTCCCAGTATCTCAATACTTCTAGATATTTGTATTTTGTGTGGAGGGGCTGAAGGTGCAGAACAATTGTACACCTCTGTCTGGTGTTCATTCATTAAGATACTGGTTTGGGTTTTTTTTTTTTCAAATTAATAGCAGGAGCTGGGTCTAGTGGTGTACAACCTATGATCCCAGGAGGATGAGGTAGGAGGACCATGTGTTTGAGTTTGAGGCCAGGCTAAGCCTCAGCTACATAGAGACCTGTTGCACACACCCCCACCCACCGCCCCAAGTAAGATGGATAATAATGGTGGGGATCTGTGTGAGGCGGATGTGTGGGTGGGAGGGAACTTGACCTCATCATCTTCCTGAGTATTGGGATTACAGTACAAAATACAATTGCTATACCAGGTACAGCCAGTGTGGCCCGGGCTTGGAGCTCTGCTTTTGACAATCTGATTGGGAACCACATCTCTGAGACTCTGAAGGGGACCATCTCACTGCATGTGCCCCATGTTCTCGCAGAATATCCAGATTTCTTTGCTATGGCTCTTGTGTTGCTGCTCACTGGTGAGGCAAGGGGCGGGGTTGAATGATGGGCGGGGTTGGGTCAGGGTTGAATGATGGGCGGGGTTGGGTCAGGGTTGAATGATGGGCGGGGTTGGCCCAGGGAAGGGCTTGAAGGAGTGTTAATGATGGGGAGGAGGAAGCTGGGAAGGAAGGAGTCTGCCACACAGAGGCAGGAAAAAGGAAAAGCAAGCTTGGAGGAAGGATTCAGTCTCTCAGGATCCTGAACAATTTTCTCCACAGGATTGTTGGCCCTGGGGGCGAGTGAATCGGCCCTGGTTACCAAAGTGTTCACAGGGGCCAACCTCTTGGTTCTCGGGTTTGTCATCATCTCTGGCTTCATTATGGGAGATCTGAAAAACTGGAGGCTCACAAAAGAGGACTATTGCTTGACCATGGGTGGACTCAATGACACTTGTAGGTTAGAAAGCCACAAATCTCGGACCATAATGGGGGAGGGGGAGATCCAGAGTGGGAGTGGGAGATAACCGAGCAGCTGGGCATTAGGGAAAAGGTACAGACAGGCTTAGCTGAACGTACTTCTTTCTGTTCCTTCTTGTACTCTAGCTTCGAGTCCATGGGCTCTGGAGGTTTCATGCCTTTTGGATTGGAAGGGATCCTCCGTGGCGCTGCTACCTGTTTCTATGCCTTCGTTGGTTTTGACTGTATTGCGACCACCGGTCAGTCACAGCCTCCCGGCTCACCGTGGGTGCAGTTTGGGATCATACAGACTGGGGGTGGTACGGGAGCAAGCCTACTCCCCTGGTTCAGAACATTGTGCCGTGTGTTTCCTGGCAGGGGAAGAGGCTCAGAATCCCCAGCGCTCCATCCCTATGGGTATTGTGATCTCACTGTCCGTCTGCTTTCTGGCGTACTTTGGCGTGTCTGCGGCACTTACCCTCATGATGCCTTACTACAAGCTTCGGCCGGAGAGCCCTCTGCCCGAGGCATTTTCCTACGTTGGCTGGGATCCTGCCAGCTACCTTGTGGCTGTTGGCTCCCTCTGTGCTCTTTCCACTAGGTCAGTGTTAAATATACGTTTCCTCGGTGGCCGTAGTTTCCGGTTATGTCCATTTTTGTGCCAGAGAATGCTCCTTAGGAGGGCTGGCAAGGGGAGGCAGAGATGCTGTGATCACACAGACTTGCAATAGATACCTTGGTGAACTCATTGCCACTTGGACTCACTTGGACATTGTCTTTTTCAGCCTTTTGGGCTCCATGTTTCCGATGCCCCGGGTGATCTACGCGATGGCAGAAGATGGCCTCCTGTTCCGTGTCCTTGCTAAGGTCCACAATGGCACACACACCCCCATTGTGGCCACTGTGGTATCTGGTGTTATTGCAGGTAGCAGAACAAAAACGCCCCTTTTGGTTGTTCCGCCCAGTCCTTTAACTTCCTTCTGTCACGTGCTTTCTTTTTGTCTGCCAATGTTAGCGTTCATGGCATTCCTCTTTGAACTCGCCGACCTTGTGGACCTCATGTCAATTGGGACTCTGCTTGCTTACTCCCTGGTGTCCATTTGTGTTCTCATTCTGAGGTAAGACTTGAGTTTGTATTTCTGGGGGAGGCACAATATGCTCAGCCCTGCTCTGTCTTCTGTCACCCTGACTGCTCCAGTCATCTGGCTATCTTGCCCTGTCCAAAAGAGCCTCGTTGTCTCTGTCTCTCTCTTTGTGTGTGTGTGTGTGGGGGGGGGGGCTGTTTCGCATATCCATGTAGGTGTGTGTGCATTTGTGTGTGGAGGCCAGAGGTCAGAGTTAGGTGTCTATCTACATCCCTCTCCACTGTACTTTTTGGATGGAATCTCTCATTGAACTTGGAGCTTACTGGTTGGCTAAGTTGCCTGGCTAATGAATTCCAGGAATCCTAGCTCCAACCCCCCTAGCACTGAGTTCCAGGGCACCTGGATTTTATATGAGTGCTGGAGATCGGAACTCAAGTCCTGTAATCATGCTTGTCTGGCAGACACTTGAATATTTAAAAAGAAGTTCTCTCTCTCTCTCTCTCTCTCTCTCTCTCTCTCTCTCTGTCTGGTGCCTTTGGAGGCCCAAAGAGGATATTGAATCCCCTGGAGCTAAGAGTTATAGGTGGTCATGAACTGCCCAGTGAGGGTGTTAGGAGCTGAACTCAGGTCTTCTATAAGAGAAACAAAAACTCTTAACTGCCAAGCCATCTCCCCAGCCCTTTGCTAGATACTTTACAGGCCGAGCCATCTCTCCAGCCCAAGCTTCTACCTTGAATAAAGAAGCCACCTGGAAAAAAGATGGAGAACCATTAACAGATATTGTTAAAATTGTTTCTTACTGTTGCCACAGATACCAGCCTGACCAGGAAATGAAGAATGATGAAGAGGAAGTGGAATCGCAGGAGGAGAAGACACTTGAGGAAGAGAAGCTGACTGCCCAGGCTCTGTTTTGTCCAGTCAACTCCATCCCTTCCCTCCTTTCTGGCCGAGTTGTCTATGTCTGCGCCTCACTGCTTGGTGAGCAGTGGATGTTTCTTTTGTTTAAGATTTCTTTATTTTGCCGGGCGGTAGTGGCGCACGCCTTTAATCCCAGCACTCGGGAGGCAGAGGCAGGCGGATCTCTGTGAGTTCGAGGCCAGCCTGGGCTACAAAGTGAGTTCCAGGAAAGGCGCAAAGCTACACAGAGAAACCCTGTCTGTAAAACCAACAAACAAAACCCAAACAAACAAACAAAATATCTCTTTATTTTGATGTGTATGAGTACTTTGTACTGTGTGCATGCCTGGTACCTACGTAGGTCAGAAGAAGGCACCTGATCCCCTGGAACTGGAGTTATAATGGTTGTGAGTCACCATGTGGGTACTGGGAACCCAACTCAGGTCCTCTGCAAGAGCAGCAAGTGCTCCTAACCATTGAGCCATATCACCAGCTCTAAGCAGTGGCTTTTTTCTTTGGGAAGGTTTGGACAGATCAGCATGACAGGGTGGACATTGTGTGGTGACATTTGGTGAGAGAGAGGTCTAGCAAGAGGGTAATCCTTCTGGGAACGGGATGCCTTAACATCTTTGCATATCAGTCACAAGAGTCGGTTTTGATTCCTCTCAACTTGACTTTTGAAGCTGTACTACTGACTGCTCTTTGCCTGGTGCTGACCCGATGGACAACTCCACTTAGTTCTGGAGACCCAGTGTGGATCACAGTGGTTGTGCTGATCCTGGGGCTCATTCTTGGAACTGCTGGAGTCCTCTGGAGACAGCCACAGAACAACACTCCCCTTCACTTTAAGGTAAAGGATGTCTCTTTCCCCCACCAGTCCGTCTTATGTTCTTTAATTGGACACAAGGTAGCTGTCAGGAGTATTTAGGCCAGACTCCTTGCTGATACTCTCTAGTTCCTTCCTTTCTAGTTCCATTTTCTTACGTTCTGGATTTGGGGAGTCTGCAATAATATATGTGATAGATGAGTGGCTGCTGGGATCCAGGTCATGAGTAGGGCTCGAACTTGGCCTCCTCTGCCCCCAGTAAGGTAAGAACCATCATGTTGTAGGTGAAGATTTATCCTGTTTTGCAGGTGCCTCTTCTGCCTCTACTCCCGCTGGTGAGCATCTTTGTGAATGTTTACCTGATGATGCAAATGACAGTTGGCACTTGGGCCCGATTTGGGATCTGGATGCTGATTGGTAGGTGTCCGCTTTGGAAGAGTAAGCCTCTTAGGTGTCCTACACCAGTTCCTTTCCCTCCTGATCTCCAGTTGGAGACCTATTGCGCCTTTCCAGGTTACACTTCCACCTTACAGTTGTCTTTCTCTACTAGGGTTTGGTATCTACTTTGGCTATGGGATCCAGCACAGTGTGGAAGAAGTTAAGACTCATCAAACCCTACCGAAAACAAGGACCCAAACTGTAGACCTTGATCTCACTGCTTCCTGTGTTCACACCATTTGACCTAATCATACCCGAGTGCTGTCTAGTCCCCCTACACAATAATGGAGAGCACTCTTGACCCCACAGAGAGCTGGGCCTCTCATGTGGTACTAGTGGGGGATACTCAATAGAGCTCTATTTATTGTGGAACAATGAACATTTCTTTGCTGTTTCTCATTTATTTTTTATTTACTTGTCTACTTTGGAATTGTCCCTGTAGTTGCTAAAATGTTATTAAAGGAAAGCAGAAGAAAAAAAAACTGTCCGGTTCTTTGCTTATTAGAGATGATGCAAAGCTTGGCTTTCAGACTGGAGAGACTCCGAGCAGTATCCTGTGTCTTTTTCTCTGGTAGTCACAAAACTTTCTGCCGTCCTGGGGATGCACCTTCTTGGCTAGGGTTTGGAGAACGTAGTAAAAGCAGCCTAATCTACTCATGCTTGTGAAGAAACAGCCCGAAGAGGTAATTTTCCTTTGTGGTGCTGCACATTAGGCCCTGGATAAGTTCTCAGACTGCACTGTTCTCTGGGATTGGGGTGGACTCACGTCTCAACACTACTTAGGTTCGACACTGAGACCAATGTCTTGTAGTGCACATCTTTCAGTTGGACCAGTCTCCCGTTGCTACCTGGGCTTGGAGGAGGTATGGAAACTAGAGGGCTTTTTGTTGTTGTTGTTGTTTTTCGAGATAGGGTTTCTCTGTTGTTTTCGTGCCTGTCCTGGATCTCGCTCTGTAGACCAGGCTGGCCACAAACTCACAGAGATCTGCCTGGCTCTGCCTCCCAAGTGTTGTGATTAAAGGCGTGCACCACCACCGCCCGGCTAGAGGGTTTTTTTTTAAAGGATCATATATGTAAGGGTACTGCTTGCCAAAGAACAGTAGGAGGCCAGAGGTTAAAACTGCACTCAGATTAATCACTATGCATTTATCCCTTTATTCAACAAATACGTCAAATTTTCGACCCTGTGCTGGGGGCTGGTGACACAAGCCGTAAAAGTCTCTGCTCTCAAGGAATTCCCAATCTAGTGAGGGAAACAAGCGGGGAAACAGGAATATAAAACAGCCGTTTGACTACGGCGGTGCGTGCTGCGGGAGCACGAAGGGAGGACCGCATTAGACCGCAGTTGACCCGAGTGCTTGAGAAGCAGGCTGGAGGGAGGGGGTCATTGCCAGTGAGCAGTACAGGAAACAATCGAATTACCACAAAACAGATTCTTTGGCCTGACTGCGGTTGTAGTGGAGCTGGAAGGAACATGCACATGGTTATGTATGCATGGCTTTGTATACACCCCAGGGAACTGCGAACATCCCTTGTGGATGGGTGTCTGTATAAGAAAGGGCTAGTCAGTCACAAGACATATTAGCAAGGTGGTGGATTTTTAGTGTAGGGAAGCCAAGGCAGGGAGATAATGCTACCATTTATGGAGTATTTATGCCAGTTCTGCACAAATCTCGTTTTGTTATTAAGCCTACAAAGGAGATATAATTGTGTTTTACAGATGAAAGAACAGGATTTTGGCAAGTGTGCCCTAGTCACAGAAGTTCAAAAGACCGAGGCCAGAAGGAAATTCAATCATAGGTCCAGGGACTTGATAAACATGCACATGGGTTAGTTTCACATAGGTAACAACTAGAACTAGAGTTACAGAGTCAAGTCATCAACATGGGTCATATGTGATAGACGCTTTGTGGAATTCAAGATCTTTCCAGGATAAAACAAATGCAGCAGATGTAGAATTTCCTTTATATGTAAGGAGCTGTTACAAACCAGTAGAAAGATAAATATACATACTAGATGTATCATTTCCAGAAAAAAAAAAGACAAATACAAGAAAAGATCTTCAGCCTTACTTATTAAAAAGAAAAAGTGGTTGGGCAGTGGTGGCACATGCCTTTAATCTCAGCAGAGGCAGGTGGATCTGAGTTTGAGGCCAGCCTGGTCTACAGAGTGAGTTCCAGGACAACTAGGGCTATACAGAAACCTTGTCTCAAAAAAAAAAAAAACCAGAAAAAGTGGCTATCAGCTTGAGAGTGCTTGTGAGAGGGTATGGTGGCGAGGGGGAAGGGGAGGGTGAGATAATGCCTTCCAATTGAAAGCATTAAAGCAAATATGAGGCTGTATTGATGATGGTTTAGTGATTGGGAGCACAGGTTGCTCTTCCAGAAGACCTAAGTTCAATTCCCAGCACCCACACGATGCTCAGTTCTAGATGCTCTCTTCTGGCCTTTGCAGCCACCAGGCATGAGCATGGTGCACAAAAATACAAACAGGTAAAACACTCATATACATAAAATCCCTCTTTTAAAAAAATTATGTATACAGTGGTTTGTCTGCATGTATACCTGCAGGCCAGAAGAGGGCACCAGATCTCATTACAGATGGTTGTGAGCCATCATGTGGTGGCTGGGAATTGAACTCAACACCTCTGGAAGAACAGCCAGTGCTCTTAACCTCTGAGCCATCTCTCCAGCTTCTATAAAATCAGTCTTATTTTACCCTTTTGTTGTTGTTGTTTAAAGAATGTTTCATGTTGCCTTGTGTGGTTTAAGCAAGTGGTTTGTCAACTAAACCCCACCCCTCAGCTAAATACTCTTGCTTATTGATTAGTTTTTCAAGACAGGGTTTCTTCATGTAACAGCTTTGGGTGTCCTGGAACTCACTCTGTAGACCAGGCTGGCCTCAAACTCACAGAGATCCACCTGGCTCTGTCTCCCCAGTGCTGGGATTAAAGGCATGTGCTACTACCGCCCAGCAAATATGCTTATTTTCAAAAGAAAATATTTTTTGTTTTTTCGAGATAGGGCTTCTCTGTGTAGCTTTGCGCCTTTCCTGGAACTTGCTTTGGAGACCAGGCTGGCCTCGAACTCACAGAGATCTGCCTGCCTCTGCCTCCCGAATGCTGGGACTAAAGGTGTGCGCCACCACCGCCCAGCTCAAAAGAAAATATTTTGGGCATTATCTAGAATGGAAAAAGGGTTCCTAGAATAATCACATATCATATGTTGGAAACATTCATGTAGTTAACACAGTGAGTAATCGTCTGGTACTAGGCTTGAAGACAGTGTGGAAAATTGCTTTAGGCATGCTCTAATCTTGATTTCCTTGAGGAGACAGATAAAATTGACCCAAATAAACAAAAAGACAGAAAGTAGGAAATTAGAAGTGTCCCCGGACAGGTGTGCATCGATTCCCGTGAAAATTGAAGGGGGAGGAGGTCTCAGGTGGTTTGAGGAAGTGTTTGTCCAGGTCAAGGCTTTTCCTGAGGTTTAAAAATGACAGGTACAATGAGCCAAATGTGGTGGTATGTGTTGTCATCTGAGCTTAGGGGGCGGGGGCAGGAAGGTTCTGAGCTCTAGGTCATTTTTGGCTACTGGGTTTGAGGTCAGCCTGGGCAACATGAAACATTCTTTAAACAACAAAAACAAAAGGGTAAAATGTGTCAGTTCAGAAATCCGGAGGCAATTTGTGCATAAAAGCAACAAGATGGGAAAGCTTAAAATTCAGTTTTGCAAAGTCGAGGATTTTTGAAGGAGTAAAGTGGAAAAAAACTAAGACAGAAAGAGCAGATTCCTAAGGCTCTTGCAAGACCCGCAACTGAGTGGCAGGAAGTGTGTGCATGGGAGGGGGGAGACAGAGAGTTGGATAATCATACCCAAACTATGCTTACATTGGAAGAATAACTCCTACTATTCTATAGCACTTTAGGTTAACTGTATTTTCCACCAACTCAAAGTAGTAGAGAGGAATTCAAAAGGCTCCCAATATGTAGAAATGATATGCTATTACACAGTAGGATGACTAAAGGTAATGATAATGTATTATATATTTCAAAAAGCTACAAGAAAAGATTTTGAATGTTTTCACCATTTATCTTATTACTGTGACCAAATATTGGACAAAAAAAGACAACTTAATGAAGAGTTTTTTCCCCCCTCACTGTTCGCAGAGATGTAGCTCCATCGTGGGGAGAGAGCATGGTGAGAGGAACAGTTGGTCTGTGGTGCCAACCGGGAAGCTGGTGCTCAGCTGGATTTTTCTACTTTCCCTTTTTATTCAGTCTGAGACCCGGCCCAGGTGATGGTGCTGTCCACATTCAGGGTGGATTCTTCATCCTTAGTTAAATCTGGAAACTCTCTCAAAGACACGTGCAGAAGTGTATCTCCCGGGTGATTCCAAGCCCAGTCAAATTGTCAGTGAATGTTAAAGCCTTATGACAGATACTCTATTTTGTTTTTAAATGAATTCTTTTTAAGTTAGCATATAAACTAACAGGTTTCATCATGGCATCTTAGACTATGTGTCATACTCTGCTCTCATTCATTCACTCTTCTACTGTCCTTCTCATGCCTCCTCCCTCCTCTAGTTCCATTTCTTGTCCCTGTTAGTCCCCGCCTTCTGCATGTGTTATGTGGATTCCATTGCTATCTATTTCCCACTTCTCTTAAGCTCTCTTCCTCCCCTCTCATCATCACCTTTCTAGTTTTGTGACCTACAAACACACATACATAAATACACATGTGCATGAATGTTCAATTTTAGGTTCAGTGTATGAGAAAAAGCATGCAGTGCTAGTCTTTCTGAGTCTGCTTTTTTCTTCATGATTTCTAGTTGTGTCTATTTTCTTTTCTTTTTAAATTACTGCATTTCATTTTTATTTTTATTTATTTTTATTTTATGTGCACATTTGTCTGTTTGAGAGTGTTGGATCCCCTGGAACTGGAGCTACAGATGGTTGTGAGCTGCCATGTAGGTGCTGGGAATCGAATCTGGGTCCTCTGGAAGAGCAGCCAGTACTCTTAACCACTGAGCCATCTCTCCAGCCCCATGCATCCATTTTCTTGCAAATGTCATGATTTCATTTTTCTTTTACACTGAATAAAATTTTGTTGTGTATATGTACTATCTTTTCTTTTTTTTCATCTTTAAGATTTAGCTGGGTATGGTGGTATATGCTCAGTGCTCAGGAGGCTGAGTCTATATGAATTAGACGCTAGCCTGGTCTACATAGCCAGTTCCAGACTAGCCAGAGCTACAAAGACCCCATCTCAAGAAAAAAAAGATTAATTTTTAAAATTCTTTTACAATTGAATACATATATGTAATACATCTTGAAAATATCTATACTCAACTTGCCCCTTCTGTACCCACCCACATACTTCTCCCACCCTCACATCTTCCCTTTCTTTTTTTTTGTAGCTCACTGAGTCCAATTAGTGCTGCCAGGTGGAATGTTGATTGACCTTGTTGACTTGCTCTTCTG